CTTTAACCGATAACACATAATCACTGATTGGATATACCCTGTAACATGATAACGATAGGTGACTAAGCATTCCAGTCTGCTTCACGTGCATTTCAGTTAGATATTAACTGACTGTTGATGCAGGAACAATCATGCAGGGATGTTGAACGACGTCGGGTTTTAAACTTTATCATATTTTATTCGTAAGCCTTTTGTATATTTATATTTTATGCATAGAGATTAAACCGGTTATAGACTTGAGAATGTGTTTGACTTTTGGCCTATCTATGAAAAACATGTCGTCATGACCTTTACATAAATGAAAAAGCACAGGCTTCTAATACCCAGTGCAATGAAAAGGTAAGACACATGTTATACGAAGTGCAATGGAAAGGTGGGGCGCATGTAATACGAAGTGCAATGAAAAGGTGGGCGCATGTAATACGAAGTGCAATGAAAAGGTGGGGCACATGTAATACGAAGTGCAGTGAAAAGGTGGGATGCATGTAATACGAAGTGCAATGGAAATGTGGGGCGCATGTAATACCCAGTGCAATAAAAAGGTGTGATGCATGTAATACTCAGTGCATGGGAAATGTGGGGCGCATGTAATACCCAATGCAATGGAAATGTGGGGCGCATGTGATACCCAGTGCAATGAAAAGGTGGGCGCATGTAATACGAAGTGCAATGAAAAGGTGGGCGCATGTAATACGAAGTGCAATGAAAAGGTGGGCGCATGTAATACGAAGTGCAAAGAAAAGATGGGATGCATGTAACACTCGGTGCAATGGAAATGTGGAGTGCATGTAATACCCAGTGCAATAAAAAGGTGGGCGCATGTAATACCCAGTGTAATGAAAAGGTGGGATGTATGTAATACGAAGTGCAATGAAAAGGTGGGGCGCATGTAATACGAAGTGCAATGGAAATGTGCGGCGCATGTAATACCCAGTGCAATAAAAAGGTGGGATGCATGTAATACGAAGTGCAATAAAAAGGTGGGATGCATGTAATACGAAGTGCAATGGAAATGTGGCGCGCATGTAATACCCAGTGCAATAAAAAGGTTGGATGCATGTAACACTCAGTGCAATGGAAATGTGCGGCGCATGTAATACCCAGTGCAATAAAAAGGTGGGATGCATGTAACACTCAGTGCAATGGAAATGTGGGGCGCATGTAATACCCAGTGTAATAAAAAGGTGGGATGCATGTAATACTCAGTGCAATGGAAATGTGGGGCGCATGTAATACTCAGTGCAATGGAAATGTGGGGCGCATGTAATACCCAGTGCAATAAAAAGGTGGGATGCATGTAACACTCAGTGCAATGGAAATGTGCGGCGCATGTAATACCCAGTGCAATAAAAAGGTGGGATGCATGTAACAGTCAGTGCAATGGAAATGTGGGGCGCATGTAATACCCAGTGCAATAAAAAGGTTGGATGCATGTAATACTCAGTGCAATGGAAATGTGGGGCGCATGTAATACTCAGTGCAATGGAAATGTGGGGCGCATGTAATACCCAGTGCAATAAAAAGGTGGGATGCATGTAATACGAAGTGCAATGGAAAGGTGGGCGCATGTAATACCCAGTGCAATGAAAAGGTGGGGCGCATGTAATACCCAGTGCAATGAAAAGGTGGGGCGCATGTAATACGAAGTGCAATGAAAAGGTGGGCGCATGTAACACCCAGTGCAATGAAAAGGTGGGGCGCATGTAATACTCAGTGCAAAGAAAAGGTGGGCGCATGTAATACCCAGTGCAATGAAAAGGTGGGACGCATGTAATACGAAGTGCAATGAAAAGGTGGGGCGCATGTAATACCTAGTTAAAAAATATCCATCTGCGCATCTGGGATACGATGACATGCATCAACCAAGTCAGCAAGCCTGATCCCCGGAAATCAGACGCCTCTAACGAAAATCATTGGTTAATCGACTTCATTTCTAACCCAGTGTTAATGTTACCACGGGAGATGTTTAAAGGAATAGAATTTAATATTTAGGTATATATTTAGCTTAACGTAATACAGTTTGTACTTAATCTAAAACATATTGTTTACCATACCCCGAAAGAAGTTAAAGATCATCCGATTCTTTCATCATACTATAATTAACCGGTCATGGCAGTTTGACTGTAGCAGTAAGAAAGAATCAGTAATCTTTCCACTTTTAAAAAATATAGTACGATCTTCTTAAGATACCCGATTATAATCTTGATCTGTCCAGCGTTCGTGGCATCAGAGACAAGGGTATATATGGTGGGATTCTCTATACATGGAAATGTCTACGACACGTCCCCGCTGACGCTCTTCCCACGTCAATCTGAAACACCGTCTTATTAGAGAATACTTTTAAAAAAATGCTACATCTAACCAGTGAAACTAGATTAATCCTGGAAGCTGATTACGGTACCGTCAAGGCCATATTTGTTATTTTACGCACGCCTCAAAGAATATAAAGGCACATAATTTGCGCGAATGATTTACAGACGGTTTAATATTTCTCCACGTTGTGTGCCAACACTGGTAAATGCGCATGTTAAGAGTTTTAGATTTTTTCAAACGTTGGAGGCCGGGCGTTGTTAAGCCCATTGCGAAGTTTATAGTGGAGTTTGTTGTGACGTTGAGTGTATATTTTGTAGTAAATATAATACTCAGTGCAATGAAAAGTTGGGGCGCAGGAATACCCAGTGCAATGATTAATATATATATAGGCTAAGCCACAGGAAAATCTTTCTCCTTTATCCATCGAGGCCGTGAATGGTAATTTAGAGGAGACAATTATTTGAGTGAAGTGTGATATGAAGCTTGTTGTCAAAATTTATTGTTGTGAAGTTTGTGCAAGGTTGTTACATATGATTTAAACATATATATTTCCAAAGAAATGAACCGGATTGGTAAACAAACACAAGCTATATGAATACCGCTCCGGATATCTGTTCATATGGATGGAGAAACTCAAGTACCAGGTTCTTGATGCTAAATTCACTAAGTTAATCGTAGCATTGCCAGTAATAAAAACAAACAAACTAACAAACAGAGAAACATACAGATATCGTAAAGTCGACCTCAGAAACCACTTCTTCTGATTTCGTTTTTGAAAGATTTTTGTAAAGTTCGTTACAAGGTCTTTGTAACATTCGTTGTATGGTTTGTAAAATGTTCATTGTAGAGTGTATTGTAAAGTTCATTGTAGCGTTTATAGCTAAGGTAATAGTCCGTTGTAAAGTGGATGGTAAAGACAGTTTGAAAATATTGATTGTCTGATACTAGTGGTGGAGGAATGGATGTAGCAGGTTCTTGGATGTTGAGTTTCAGCCAGGTCTTCAGATACACTATCGGTACTTCTAGCAATGCAATATCAAACAGAGACATAAATGTACACACAATCATCCGGGATAAGCCACATCGTCGTAGAGCACATTGACATAGGTCGTGGTGGCCACTTATGAATAAAACCGCCTCCGTGTTGTAGTGGTTAGAGCGTCCGCCCGGAGAGCGGAAGGTCGCGGGTTCGATCCCCGACCGCGTCATACCAAAAGACGTTAAAATATGGTACTTGTTGGTCCCTGCCTGGCGCTCAGCATTAATGGGTACAACAAGGACTGGTCGGCTCGGAGTCAGTATTATGTGTCTGAGTGGGGTATTCATGCTTCACTGCGGCATGGTATCTCAGTGGGCTAGCACTATAAAACCAGCTTATATCTGGGCTAGTACAGGCAGCCGCACACACACATACACTCGCATGCACGTCGTCATATGAGCGAAATATTCTCAAGCATGACGTTAAACCCAATTTCACCTCACCTCACTTATGAAAGAAGATAAGGATATATTGTGGTCACCCTGTAGTGGTCAATGCTGCATCAATATTGACCAAGTATACGGTTAGCTACCTTACACAGGTATGTAGTAGCCCTATATCACTGTTTACCCTATACACTATAGAAGACAGGTGCCCTGTTTCATGAGCACTGTCACTATGTATGGTATACAAACACACTTAAACCACATGATGGTAATCTTATATACAATATTTCAACAGTGTCCGGTGTCCCTTCTGAAAGCGCCTGGTATCGTGAAAAACACCTTCAGAATTACGTAAACGTTCAAAGGCAGTAGTTCATTATGGTTCATTATGGGGTAAAGCATTCCTCATCCATCGATGACAAAGTTCGAATCCCAACATGATCGTAATATTAGCACTGCTAAAAGCGTGGAAAAGCCATATTTCCTCAATCACCACATACATTATAGTGTTTCCACCAAACAATATTTCAGAGGATCAAGAGGGAGGGTTCAGGGGGTTCGACCCCCCCCCCCCCCCTTGAAAATGACTTAAGACCACATTGAAGATTTGTTTTGCGTTAGTAGAGCCAATGACCACCCCCTTCAAAATTACTGGATACTCCCATGTGCCCAATTACCACTTGATGCATATGATGTGAGCATCGGGTGAGGTCAATCGTGCACAACATCCTTACCGTTTTTGTTGTCAATGATTTTCAGTGACCTCTTCATAAATGTTCACCTCTGTTGTGTCTTTTACGCCAAATAACAGCTCTTTTGGCAGATAATCGAGTTATTTTCTGACGTCAGTTTAATGGTAGGCTTAACATAGAAGGCTATGGGACACAACTTAACGCATTTGGTTTTATGCATATTCTCTGATTCAACAAGGAGTTTTCAATATTCTGAAATTACTTAACATAGTTTACAAATAATTCTTGCCATTCATGTTATACAAAGATGCTCTCTGACGTTTTGAGAGTTAACAGTGCACAATAATAGCAACAATGTATCTTTATTGTATGAAAATAAACATATGAAGTGTATTTGTTTTAAAAATATTTAACACATGCATGTTTCAGAAGTCGTAGACCTTGTATATTACACCTTAAACATCACAAGTAAACTTCGTCATGTGAAATGAACCAATACTCAATCAGTAGGATATACAGTCACGGGACAAATTTGCACAAATCGTGATATAGCTAATGAAAACAATAATGGTTTGTTAAACAACTTTTTTTATTTTGTAGACAAAAATTATGACAAAATTTAGCAGCGTTGGTGTGTTTTTCCTATTAACTTTGGCGTTGTTTTGAGTCATATTTTGTTTATGAGAGATTTTGACTCAAACGGACTGTACCATAATCTGTGTATACACCTCGCTGAATCATCAAGACATCCCCGTTTTTAGCGTGGTGCTAAATGTTCTGTTAGCAACGACGCGTAATCTGCGAGGCTCATGCACCCACTGGTTGTGTATTTGTGTTGTGTCCAAACTGTCTTCGTTATCTGGCTATGTGAAGCTGTGGTCCATCTATTTAGTATGAGTCCACGTATGAACTTGGCGCGACCTCCATCAGCAGCTGAAGATACATCTCGATCTTTTCTGTACACAAGAATTGGAAGAGTTTTGTATATGAGCAGTAGATAGTGAGTCTCATAATGAAATGTGTGTCCTCCATATTATATATACTAAGCAGCAAAAGAAACGTCAGTTTGGAATTTTCCTTCGCAGAAACGGATAACTGTAAACTCATTTAATGTTCTGATTGTATATTTTGACAACATCTCCAACTTTACCTCATCAAAGACATTCCTTCCCAAACTCTGGAACCCAGGAAATGGTCTCAAAAACGCAACCTGATCTCGGAGATGGTACGGTGTTCTCCATGTTTTTCATGCAACTCATGCTGCACGTGCTGTTCACAAGGACCAGCCTTATAAAATGCACCTCCAAACCTGGTTGAAACATTCATATTAGAACGTCAGCAGGATGCCGCGACTCACGACAGCTCAGTGGAACCAGGCGCTAGGAAGATTTGAAGCTGGCCACTCAGCACAAGCCGTTGCCAATCATTTCCAGGTCAACGTTCGGACCATCTACAGGCTGTAGCAACGTTTGAGGGCCACCAACACCACAAATGATCGCCCCCGTACTGGCAGACCAAGGGTGACCACAAGACTTCCATGTTGTGCGACAGGATGTACAGAATCCCTTCATGCAGGCATCAAAAACAGAACGCCAGACAGTGGGAACACATGGAAGACCAATCAGTACCGATACAGTACGCCGACGTCTTAACAGCGGGAACCTCCATTGCCGTAGACCTGACCGTGGACCTATCCCCACCTCTCGTCATCGGCGTGAACGTTTGCGGTTTGCCCTACAACACCAAAACTGGCGATACAGGCAATGGGGAACTGTTCTGATCACAGATGAGAGTCGGGACTGCATATCAACTGCAGATGGTAGAACAAGCATATGGCGTCTACGTGGCCAGCTTTACTCAGACCAATGTGTTATGGAAAGAGACTCATGGGCAGGTGCAAACATCATGGTATGGGTTGGAATAGGCCTGAACCTGAGTGTGGGTCCTGTGGTGTTCCAGAACCTTGGTCCAGGGAGAGGAGGCGGCATGACAGTGGTGCGCTACATCAACCAAGCTCTCAGACCCACGTCATACCACATTTCGCACTTCACCGGAACAACATGATAACGCCCGGGTCCATACTGCCAGAGCTACACGGGACTTCCTACAGCAGAACGGTGTCAACATTATGCAGTGACCAGCCCTTTGTCCTGATTTAATCCCAATTGAACATTTTTGGGATGAAATTCAGAGGAGACTGAATAATGTCATGCCAAGGCCGAACACAGCAGATTTATTGTGCCAGGCCTTTTTCAGAGTGTGGTTCCAGGTGCCAATGGCCTTCATCAATCAATTGGTGCACTCCATGCATAGACGCTGTGCTGCAGTTATTGCCGCTCGTGGTGGTCACACTAGATACTGAAGTCAAGAGTCTGATTGGACTGCAAACGTTCACGTAATGTCTTGAAATTCTGCTGAGTTATTCATTGATGTGTCAAGATATTGTACACTAAAATGTTTTTGATCCGCTTATCATGTCCATTTCTGTAATGATTTGATTACAGTGCCTATCTAATTTTTAATTCTTTTGCTGCTGAGTATATATAGTAGGCATCCACATGACCACCACTATTTCACCACTTATTGCGTTATCTGTTTCATTGTATATTAAGCAGATTAGCCAAATAATTAGCAATTTGTCCGAAAAGTTTCACATAATCATCAGAAAAATATTCGTTCTAATATTGTTTATGGTGGCCAAACAGCCAGTAGCCTTCCATTGATTTATCAACCACGGGCTCCTTTCACGAGCAACTTTTACTAAGGTTAACCTTAACTCCCATTCTTTAACATTGTACTAAGGTTACCTTAGTGACTTACGCTTTTGGACTGGGATACCGTCTCATCTGTTTCATAGTTATAATTTAGATGCTTGCATAGTGGGTTAGATTGACAACACACTCAACACAAGACTGTATTATGACAAGAGGAAAACTTCAAGTTTTGTTTGCCTCTTGTGGAGCAATATTGCAGCAGCACCTGTCTTTGGCGTTAATGTCACAACGTTCGAGATACAATCAAACCTGCTGTATCTACCCACTTTTCATGGATCGTCTTGCTCCCAAGTTGTTCAGGGTTAATCAACACATCAACAAGGCTTTCCAAAAGGATTTGCGAAGACATGGAGGACATTTCCATGTTTGACAAAAACAAAGTAAGACTTGCAGCATTTCTGCCATTTTGTCCCGGTTAACAAGTACCTTGTCTTTGCATTATTTTGATGTCTATTTGTGCCTCCCGGGGGCAAGAGGCGCTCATCTTTTCCCAAATTCTGGGTATTATTACTATTGAATGACCTCTGTTAGCTTGTTAGATTTCTAATGATTTGAAAAGATTTTTGTCGTGAGTATTATTTGAAATGACATTCTTATCAATGATTTGTTTTCAAAGTGAATTAATAATGAACGTTTTTTCAACATATTCACAAGTGTGTAATATAGTTCACGTTAATCATGGAGCTATTAGTAACTTTGCGATGTTGATATGCCCCAGTGGGTCTACTGGATTAGAATGGCATGGTCGCTTATGAACGTTCGACGGAAGTATATCAAGTCTATTTTTCTATACCTACCAAACCATTTGGGTTTTAAGTTGAAGTGGATGAGTGGGAAATAGATGACGAGGCCACCAACAACGAAAGCGGCAGCATACAGCAGCTCAACCCGGGGTTATCTACAATAGGTGCCACAACCAGGAACAGACACCACAGCATGAAGATGATGGGGATGAGGATTGGAACCTGAAAGAAGAAGTGAGTGAGTGAGATGGATATAACGCGTATAGTAATGTTATACCGCGATATGTTAACTGAGCATCTGTGATTTGGAAGTGATGAATGTTAGGATGTCTACCCCGGGTATGGTGCAGAGAAACCTACAAACAAATCCATGGCATACCGTAGATTCCTATCTCACTGACGCAGATCTCCATAAAAGTGTGGTGCCTAGGTCATCTTCACATGTTTTCAGCTATCTTTTGTCAAAATGTTAAAGTTTTCCTCAACTAAGGGATGTATGCAGACATGATATTCGGGGCCGGTGACGTTAACCTAACACCCCGACTCGCATGAGCACTCCACACGCTTTGAGTGAGTGAGTGAGTGAGTATGGTTTTATGCCGCTTTTAAAAATATTCCAGCAATATCACGGCGGGGGACACCAGAAATGGGTTTCACATATTGTACCCATGTGGGAAATCGAACCCGGGTCTTTAGCGTGACGAGCCAACGCTTTAACCACTGGGCTAGTAGTACTACTTCTGAGGTAGCATTAACTTTTCATGCAAATATTGTAGTTTCAACTTCAGGAATATAATACGTTACTTTTATTCGTTTCGGGTCGTCCTTTATTTTAAACCGGAGTACAATACAACATAGAGCACAGGCACAGTAGAAGACCCAGCTGGTGAAGCTGAGGAAGTTGATGAGGGTGGTGATGGTTCCTTGCAGTACCATGCACATAGCGATCAGCACCTGCAGCCAAGCATCAACACATGGCATTTGCTGAGATTACTTTGAATGAGATAAACTTCATAGTATAGGCAATATTTAAATTGACACAGCGACAAGAACAATCTATAGATACCAGTAATTTATAAGCATTTACGCAGTTGTGTGATTAGCATAGACACAATAGAAAACAAACGATACGGTTAAAAGTCAAACATATAAAGACAACCATAAACTATGTCAGATGAATGTTAGTTCAGATTGGTCACGAAAGTTGTCCAATATTGAACCATGTTCCACTTCCATAGGTTTTAGCTGTAGTTCACCTTCCAAAATGTTTCAAATCAACTTCCAACAGTTTGATTGTCCTGCATATAGATAGTCATGTTTATGTCATAACTGATCGTTTGTAGTCATTCACAGAAAAGAATCCTTTCCAGAAGAGAGATGTATGAGATATATACATTTTATAATCAGAGGCAAACGTTTCTGTGACATGGAGTTTTTTCATTGGTAATCTTGGGAATGAATTTTGGGTCGAAGCAGTCTTTTTCGAACTGCCCGAAAGAAGTATGACATATTCCCAAAAAATGGACAGCAATGCTCGCAACCATACACTCATAAGTTCCCCCACTAAATCCAGTGTTTAGAAGAAGGCAGAAAAAACAAGATCGACATGTCATGTCATGCCTCGGGGAAAATGACAGTTCTCGGTATGCTTCAGTCTGGTACCTCGCAGCGTGCTCCTCGATACACAAAACACCATTAGGCACTTACGGCGACAGTTTCAGCAAAACAATAAAGTTATAGATAAGTTAAACACCGGTAACTACCCCACGTCAAGAGCGATGGAATCGACCCATGCCCCTCTGACACAGGTTCCAGCCAGCAGCCCTTACAGCCCCTACCATTCCTGGCAATAGAGGGTTTTCTGCGAGAACAGTTCGACAACGTCTTCGCGTCTATGGCATCAGTGTCAGACGGCCAATTCTGACGCCAGTGCATTGACTTCAGTGTCTCCAGTGGAACAGACAACACTTGCACGTAAGTAGAGAAAAGAGTCCTCTTCACCGATGAGTCGCGTTTTTTTCTTCACCGTGCTGACGGCAAGACTCGAGGCTATAGGCGCACAGGTGAGCGTTACTTTTGGCCAGTGTTTTGGAAACGTTATTATCTGGGAAGGGATCACAGCTGTTCGTTTATTGAATAACATCCAAAGTAGGTATGACCGTGTCCTTATGTCTCTACATTTATTCATGCTATTTGATTTTGTGTTCCTGTTCTTATACTAAACTGTGCAGGTTGAAGCTTATGTGTCCTGCCTGTCGCAGATGTGGCTATGCATATCTAGGTTATTGGTGACATAAAACAGCATTTATTCCTACTTACGTGACAAATAATTGTTGGCATGGGTGTGTACCTCTTCACGCTGATAAATGATAGAAACTCCCACCAATTCCCATCACGGGCTGCAGCAAACTGTATTCTTAGAGGCAGGAAGAGTAAAGGTAGACACATGATTCAAACATTTGACTTCATGGACGATGGATAGGTTACCCTATCAACTGACAACCTGACAATGTAGGAAGAATGTTAAATATGTATCCATATCATTATCTTCGTGAAAGTATATCAACAAAACCATTCAAGTATCAATGTTTCTTTCGCAAAAACAGAAATATATGTTATTACCGCAGTGGACAGGTTTGTGTGACGTGACGGCCATGGACAGACCTTTGCTTTAACACAGTATGTTATAAAAGTAACTACAGCTGAGTAATTCAAGGCATGGTGTATGTTCAGTGAACAGGATGTCCCAGCTGGCATTGGTGTCCAGTTGTGCCCATCGTAGATGCTGAGCATAACCTTTTAATAAGGGGTTGGTGGGATAGCCTAGTGGCTAAAGCGTTCGCTCGTGACGCCGAAGACCCGGTTTGATTCCCCACATGGGTACAATGTGTGAACCCCTTTTCTGGTATTGTCCACCGTCGTGATATTGCTGGAATATTGCTTTCCTAAAACTAAACTTGTTCTCTCAGAATAAGGGTAAAGGCGGATCATATCACCCTGTCCACAAAATTGAGTTCCTCTTTTTTATGATCAATAAAAGACTTGGGAAAAAGATAATCATCATCAGTGTAACAGTAGCCAGCGAAATCGCAATTTTATTTAGCGGCTAGCTTTGGTAGCAGGGTGGAGTTGCTTCCCTTGAACGGGAGGTGACGATGTGTGCTCTAGAGAAAAGATGGACGGGTGCGATGCGTGTCAGATTTGTATCCAAGGGAATACTTGACTGTTTTGACGGTCCACACCTATGAGTTATTGTCTTATTATGCGTGCGAAGAAGTGTAACAATGGGAATGGATCAGTAAACAGAAAACAAGTTTGCGTTGTTTATGCAGCTAATGCAAGAACATTCAGGGAGTCGGTCAGTGTCACGTCAAGTGAAGTGCGAGCTGAAAGTTGCTGCAATCAGAATCTGATAACTGTTAGGGAATTCTTACCATTTTTGCAAACGACTCCTCGTGTCATAACTGATTTTCAATTATCCATTCGTACACATCTCATAACTATTTTGCTTTATATGCCCGAACGATTCCGTTTCAACGGATAATCGAAACTGGGTCTCTCTGGCATGAGATTTTCTATTTTGATAACAATTTCAATAGGTTTAGCGCTTTTACATTCAGCAAATCATTTTTGCCATGTCCATATTTTACTTGATCATTTACATTCCACATTATACAACATTACACTTTTACGTCAATGTGTATTGATTTCTGTGATCTCGTGAAAGGTTACCCGTATCTCGACAAATAGTTTGTTGCTGACTGACATCCAGCTTTACATAACCCTTTCGAAATATCCACTCACTCAATGTACTACTCACCTAGAAGCTGTTCCTATTCCACCATTAGCGCTGCCATACACTGACATCATGACGCAGATCGGAATAATCCAGGAGGCTCGACCGAGGACCCTGTCTCCCCAGGTCTGGTGGGAAACAATTTGGGTTTACCGTTCCTTAAGTTATATCACGGTGTGTAAGAAACACAGGTCAGTGTGAGGCCATGGACGTATACCACTTTGGTGAAAACCATGTATATCGTGTTGGCAAAGCAGATGTGAGTACGTTGGGTCTTACTCCAGTCTGAACGGGGTTCCGTTTATGTCACAACGGACCATGTTGGTTATGGATTATGCCGCAGTCACGCAGGTCTTCAAAACCAAATAGCGCAAATACCACAAATCTATGTTATCCATCAAAAGTTGAGACTCACAAGTGTAAATGTAGTCACTTACTTCAGTCAACTGTTCTAAACGAGATGTTGCAAAATATTCCATACTGTTTGAAGGTGCTGTTTACACATGAACTGATGTATTGTAAAACGAATTCGTAACGTTGAAAAGATTATTGTCATGAGTTCAAGAAATGATGAAACTCAGTGAAAATTGGCGAATTCTTAACAAAATCTTACACCAAAATGCAGCTATTCACATGCACGATATTTGCACATGCTTTTTAGCAATTTGAGGCATGATACTCGTGCAATTCATCTGCATACATTTTGCAGTTAGTTCCCTCATGATAGTGGAGAAATTCATCTTCGATGTAACTATATATATATTCATAACATATAGTGAGTGCTTTAAGTGAACTTTTGATGGGTAGTATATTTACGTGATGAAGGCGCACTAGAGTTTCAATCCAAAACCATTGGTTCCTGATTCAGGTAAGGGACGTAATTCCTCGACCAGAAGACTACTGCCCACCCGTACAAACAAATAAAAACACAGGGACATTCACTTCGTTAGGTGATTAGAGAACATGTTAACCAGGACCGCGTTTCACAAAGCTCTCGTGAGGATAAGATCTCGTAACGTTTCTTGTAGCATTCGTACCTCCTGTACTGTAACATTGACTTGCGATAGTCGTAGCGCTACGAGAGCTTTGTCAAATGACAGTCAACCCCAGATTATGATCAACATCACTATCGATGCATACCATCATTCAATATATGTACCTGCGCGACGGCCGTCGACTGATACATCTCGTCACGGGTCATGACAGCAAGGTAGGAGATGTTGGTGAGGATGTAGACAACGCCGACTATCGACACACCGATGATACTCGACAGTGGTCCGTTTCTGGCAGTTGAGAACAATGATTAGTCATAGGAAATTATATCCAGTATACTGCTACTCAATATTCTGAACATAGTCTGTAATGACCAAAATAGTTTCTTTTGCAATATTGCTTATCGTCTATTAAGAGTGTTATCCTATACAGTGAACACTGTTATTTTCATCAGTGAACTTAATGTATCATGTATTTAGATAGTCAATAGTGAGCTATCTGGACCATAAAGTCATATGCTGGAGTTTAACAGGACAAGTCGATACAAACGGAGTATTAATCAAGTATGGGTTTAAGTGTAAAATATCATATTTTTGGCATACAATTTGAATGTAGTTTTTTTGGGAGTAAAATCGTAAGGCATATTCTTGTATCACCAAATGAACATTAGATGTCGTAGAATTACAGAGTGAACATTTTGGTTCGTATAATCACTTCCGCAAAGGAGGCATCCACATCAATATTTGGCGGACCGTTGGGCAATAGCCATTTCATCGCGTTTCACCGTATCAAAAGGCATTCTAGTTTGGTGTCTCGTTTGCATATTTATTACATTGTGAAAAGAAGCTTATTGGTTTAGTTAGTGCATCAATGACACACTCGTTAATATGCTAACGTATGACTCAGTACCTTTGCGGGTCCTTCACCTCCTCTATCAAGAAGTTCACATTGTTCCTTGAAAGATAAAAATTACATATGATTCTGTAAAATATGTTCATATGCTGCCTAAGCAGACGTGATGATATATTTATCAGTATCAGTTTCGTGTCAGGAAAATAACTCAGAACATTTCATGTACAAACCAGAATAGCTGAACTGGTGACCGGTTCTTTTCTTCTCTTTTTTTGCGAATTATGTGTTGAAAACATTCACTATGAATGTTCATATGAAGGTGGGGAGTCTTTCTCTTTTTAGGAAAATTACTCAAAATGAATTGTTTGACAGGCGTTTGTTAGAAGTTGATGGAATACGAAATCGACACCAAAGTTATGGACAACAAATTTTGTTATGTACTGTTGTTTTCGGTATTGATCCTTATTCTGTTATCATGATAGGTTGCGCATTGTACAGAATAATACATGGTGGTGATAGATTACCAGTGACACTAACTTCCATACAATAACAACTGGCAGGACACTTTAAGGATGGCAACTTCATTATTCTTTTATGATGCGATGTTTCGGTGGAGATGCCTGCACCGTTTAGTTCTCCAGAAAGATTGATAACACAGTAAGCATTTGTACCGAAACGTCGCATTATAATATTATAAAGAAATTGCCATCAACAAAGAATCTTGACATTATTGATACTTTCAAAATTCTAAATTGAATCAGATGACAGGAGGATACTATTTTAGCAACATCTTGGGCAGAGAGCACATGATGTGGAATCCAATGAAACAGTATCAAGCATATATGAAGGACTATACATATACAAGAACTTGCAGTAAAAATATGGGAAGACATTGTGACCCAATTAGATCCAGTGATCCATGAATCAAAGACAATATCAACTGCACTAGAATATATTAGTAAACACGCAAACAATTCTCTCATTTTTATAATCTCTTTCTTGTCTGCAGGCAAAACTTTGAATCGATCAAACGTCCCCTTTAGTCGACATTCTTGAAATATTGAATGATCCTGCCACTGGCCAATACAAAATCGTCTTCTCTTGTCCACCGAGCCATGTTGACTTTAAGAAACATTTGATGCTGGCGTTGGTAGACGACCAATTTTGTGACACGATTTCAGATCCCATTATTGTTTTGACTGTTTGGTCGTCAGTAGCCTATGGTGTAAATACAGCTGGGGTACCTTACCTTACAGGTAGCAGGGGTACCTCAGTCTCAATGGTTCTGAGGGCGGTTGGCAAACTTTGGCTGCTGGTGATCTATGGCTGATGTTTATATATGTATAGATACTACTCTTCATATTTAATGCTTACCTACTAGTTTTCACCTTGATATTCCACTTGTTTCACTTGTCCTTTAGTCTTAGAATATATTTTAATGTGTAAGTTGTTTTACAGTTTTCCCAGAAATTATTGAGAAAATCTTTGTTTCCTAATACTGATGATATAATTTAAAATAGGTGTTACACTATGTAGTAAGGTAATCAATATGGGAGGCAACTCTTGGAGGCTTAAGAATGAACCTTATTATATCAAGAGTTCTCTCCTCTGGTGTAGCAGGCGGTTTCCTTTGTTGACATGGCAGATTTGACAGCAGAAGAGAACAGAAAGCTGGTTTTTGGTGATTTTGAAAGGGGTGTCACTAATGCAAAGGAGTTAGCTGGTAGACATGACCATTCTTTGTCTATAGTATACAGAACTTTCAGATTATTCAGTCAAGAGGGATTGAGCATAAGACATGGGCAGGGAGGCCAGGGAGGTTCAGTACTACGGATCGCCGGCGACTTGGTCAGATTGTGAGTAGGGGAAAATTGAAAAGAGTTGAGAATATCAGAAATGAGATGATTTATAGAGGAAGTCCTCAAGTATGTAATGAAACCCTTGGACAAAAATTACAAAAATTTAACTGGATGAAAAAGCGCAGAGTTCTCTCACCATTTATGGAAGATGCACAAATCGAAAGACGTTTAAACTGGTGTAAAGCTCACGAAAATCAAGATATGGATAATGTCAGTGTATGAAATAAGGCAAAATTCAAACCAGACATCAGGGCTGGTAACTTCGAAATGTTACCAGCCTAAACTGGATTTAACCAGACCAAATATGGTGAATTTACTCAGATGTATGGAAAAAAATTTAAAAAATTACCAGACCATCGGGCTGGCTAGCTGTAAATTTAGACCGTCCATCAGACATCTAGACCGTCTCGGGCGGTCGGACAGGCCTTATTTCATACACTTATAATGTCTTCTTTTCCGATGAAAGTTCTGTCTGGCTTTTTTTTCCGAACTGTGTGACATCTTAGACAAAGGATACCGCGAAACCTATCTACCAACGCCCAAAACATAGCCCGAAATTTCACAAGTGGGGTGGGATATCATCACGTTGTGTATTTACACTGACAATTTGACGAAGGAACGATATGTTGACATCTTAAATGGTCAGCCCCTTCCAACGGCCCGAAAACTACTTGGATTTTCCTGCATGATAACGACCCAAAACACACAGCGAACTAAAACAAAACTCGAATATTGCGATACGCTGTCACACTAATTCCTACAAACTGACCGGTAGTGCACCTACATTTGCATGCGCACAGTCGTGTATTGCAGGGCAAGGAGGTCTCACAAAGTACTGAAATATGGCTGAAATATTGCCGAGGTGACGTTAAATTGTAACTCACTCACTCACAAAGTACTGAAAAGACACTTAGACTGTAAGAGAACCATAACTCAACGAATTCATTTACGTAAAACTTATATAAAACTTATAGTTTATATACATGTATTACATATTTTCCGAAACAGCTTTCTCAATACTTTCTTGGAATACTACATCTTTTTTGTGACATTATAAACACAATCATTATCAGAGCAGGATGACTTGGTGTTGTTGTTTGACAGACCGACACCCCTCCCGCACATACAAACCACAGTTTCAGTTGTAACGTGACTGAATGCCACACCCGAATATGAAAATTTGACCATCATTTACCATCCTCCATATGCAAACATGATCGAGTAGTACGATAGGGCGATATTTGAAATCACAGTCACAGAACCATCAAACCCAGTTGGTAGCTCAGATAACGTCCCTGCAAAAATAAGACAGAGGGACTTATTAAAGTTCTAAATATTTTGTTTCGTGTGCATTTAACTATGTTACAACCACTGAGTCGTCGTCATGACTTCAAGTGCTTATGTACACCGACCTCTTTTTTTTCGAAATTTTGTATTTTTACGTTGATTCGATTATTTTTGAATATTTCAATTATTTTCTCACAATTTTGATAAACAATAAAGTGATTGGTTTTTTTTCTTAAAACAACGTCATACTGCAAACTCTTTAGAAAATTTGAACAAACTAAAACATAGTTCATTGTCGTTAAGGGGCTCTAAGATGTTTGTATCACGAACTGTTCACCAAGCATTATTTTTTGACTGAAATGAATTCCTCTTAAAATTTTGACATTGTATGAAACATTTGTCTACAAGAAGTCCAACGGCTTAGATAAAATCAGTTAACCGTCGGAAATCTAATGTGTGGGTTTGAATCCCGGTTTGCTGAGAATGTGTATTCAGGTTTGTCTACACCATCCCGTGTTCGCCGCCCTCCCCACAGTTGTAACCTGAATCACATCAAGCCTTCTTCCTACATCCAATTGATATGTCAAGAATACTTTTCAAACCGGTGATGAACCTCACTCACTGAACGAGTCCTTCTTCTGTCTGTATCTACCCTCGTTCTTACCTTGTCCAATTTTGACCAGACCTCCAATGATGATCACAATGAGAGCTCCCAATTTGGCTGCAGTGAAGAAGACCTGTATCCGTGCCGACAACCTCACGCTGTAGGAGGTGGTGAACGCCAGGACAACTGGACAACAGAAGTGAAGTTAATGTACTGGTACATACGGGCATTTGGCCTCAGATTGTGCACTTTCATAGCTTGGACACTCTCATAGTACTTGCATGCATCTTGATAGCTTTTCGTAAGAAGGGTATTTTGGTGTTAAGTCTCATTCTGGGATGTTGTTCAGCAGATAAATTATGTTTGGCAACTCATTTAACATTGAATTTGGTCACGAGAAACAACGCTATCCTTTCTGTCTGACTTACAGAAGTACATGCTACGACTTTCCGTGGTCGGACTTGTAATTACAGACACACTCGGGCTTACAGAGTAACATGCTACGAGTTCCATTGGTCGGGCTTGCAATTACAGAAACACTCGGGCTTACAGTGTAACATGCTACGAATTTCCTCGGTCGGGCTTGTTATTACAGACACACTCGGGCTCACAGACTAGCTACGTTTTCCAGAAATGGCTCACGGAGAATGCAAATGTGTACCTGGTACTTTATAAGAGTTGATTAAAACAATTCTAGCAATGGTTTTCGTCTTACCAAGCAGTCAAATACCTGTGAATGTCTTGTAGAGAGGACATCGGCTTATCCATTTCCACACCTGGATATCTTTTGTATGCGTTATGTCTAGTACCATGAGAACATGTTACTATGTCGTGTTTGTGATCTTGAGGTATGTTTTTGGTAGGTCTCTCGATGTGTCTTGCATAAAGCTATACGAATCTTGGAATATTTTAGCTGGGACTATGAACATGCTGAATCGAACTGTGAGTCCGGGAGTCGCCAAACAACTAACCTACCAAGTACGCAAATCGCTATGAGTTTCTTCGGCGGTTCAGGGGATCCACACAGCTCCAGTAAAGTGGAGAGATACTCGGCGAACGTCAGACATTGCACAGCTCTGGACGCTGGGTTCCTGGCGATCTCGATGGACCATACAAACATAAAGGCAGGGATAGGGCCGAATGTTTTCAGCAACACTGCATACTCCCCTCCCGATGTCCGTGTGACAGATGTTAACTCAGTGAAGGTAAGTGAACCTGAAAACTCACAAGAAAAGATTGAACAACATAAATTATGTCTTTAGTGATACCGCGTCTAGTGGATAGCACGTCTTCCTGTAGAGCGGCACTGTAACATTATTGTCCTCCTGAGAGGGTATGTAAGTCCCAAAACATTCGAAGTAAATTAAAACGTTCCACTTTTTTAATCGTAGAATACCTGTTCTTTTAATGTATGGCTAGATTTCTAAATTGCTAACGGCTGAAGGGATGGTGTAAATCCAGCTAGGGTCCATGCAGGAAGCAAATGTACTGTAAGTCCCCATGGTCCCTAGTATGGTGATCTACCTTCAGTTGCTGGCAATCTATAGCCGGTTTTTATGTTGTATTGTCATTTAAAAGTAACATATTTTAGATTTAATCACTAGTTTTACATGTATATCTGTGATATTCTAGTTGTTTTACTGTCCTTCGTAGGCAGGTTGTATTATCTACATCTATTCCATTTCAATGTAAAATGTTCACGTCACGATATGGCTGAAATATTGCCGATGTGACGTTAAATATTAACTCACTCACTCACTCCTGTAGAGCGGCAGGTTGGCGGTTCGATTCCAAGTCGCGTCATACCCAAAGATAAAGATAGTGTGACCCTGCATGGCATCAAGCATTGAGGGGAAAAATATGGAATTATTCGTAATCAGTAGACTGTGTTTGAGTGGGGTACTTACAGCGTGGTATCGCGTCATGAAGCTCTATGAATTCGGCATGCGTCCAGGGTAAACAAGCAGCACACGCACAAGCTATGGGGTAGCCTAATGGTAAAAGGGTCCGTTCGTCACGCTGAAGAGCCAAGTTCGATTGCCAAACCCGCGTAAAACCATACTCACTCACTCACTAACTGGCGCGACATTAAACCCTGTTTCACGTCACATGGCCTTTTGGCTTTTGGTGAGGTTAAAGTATTAAACCCTATTTTTTCATAAAAATGCTTCAAATACAAAGAATCAACATATAAGCAAATGTGGGACTTTGTACTTGATAGGTTATTCAGCATGAAACAGTCAGTCTAGTGTTCAACATCAGAGAGCACTTGGTTCATGGAGATTCGTCACAGTTGTTGGCATATGCATCTGAATAATTTCTATATGCACGACTGTACGGTGGAATTATTTAGCACACCGAACGTTATATTTACCGAGTAGAGAGAGGAGAGCTCCAGTTGACCACACCACCATGCACAGACCTACAGAGCCGGTGTTCATCAAGACTCCTTGGGGTGTGATGAAGATACCAGAACCTACGAAATATTTAAATCTATACTTTTACAATAAATCAATACATAGTCAGAAATAGAATCACACAGGCTCTTCCCCATCTCCTATTATCCACGCTTCGAATACTGATAATTCACAATCTCTTCCCTTCCATATTTTCCTCCCTTCCCTATTAATGACGACACCACGATCGACAACTTGTCGTTATTTTCGTCATTCCATTTACCTACCTCCCATATTGTAACTCAGATCATTGCCTTCCCTTTCCCAATGTCAATCCATTGCATTCTCCTTCGCATCCCGCTTCCCATCACCGCCTTTCCAAACCATTCCATCCCTACCTATGACATTGCATTCATACAGCATCCCATCCGATCACTTTCCCTCCCCAAAATTTCCCATCCCTTCCTCGCCAATGACAATCCCAACAATCGCTCATGGCAATTTCTTCCAACCCCTTCCCTTTCTATCCCATGTCATGCCATTCCGTCCCATGTCGCATCTCTTTCCATTCTTTTCAAAACACTTTCGTTCCGTTCCTCCCATCCTATTTTCTATCGCATCGCATCTGATTCCTTCCCTGTCCATCCCTTCACGATCGTTCCGAAATTCCGACCCCAACCCTTGATAATGATTATCCATCCATTCCCTTCAAATGACAATCAACCAGTAGTGATAATTCTTTACTTGAAATCAGCTGTAACATTTACACTAACGATACCTGTTCCACCCAACTTACCAATGATGGTTCCCACCACAAAGGATATCCCACTAAACAGACCAATCTCCTTCTTCAGGGTTAACTTGGATGTGTCAGTTTCAACTTGAGGTTCAGTCTTCTCTGGAGAGTCCTCGGGTGTCCGTTGTCGCAGTTCCATGTCTGATAGAGACACCTTGTCTGGTGTCGTTGAATCTGTAAGCAGTGTTTTTCACTCCTGTATCAGTTCTACTTATGTTTAACTGTGGATTCATTTATACACAAAGAACTTAGTTAAGCACCCCCTGACATATCTCACGATTGAATAAGCCCCGATCTTAACCCTATCTGGGAGATGATTAGTCGTCGTGTGTCATAAAGGGATCCTCCTGTACAGAACCTGGCCCAGTTGGAAGCTGCTTCACACAAGAAAAGCATAGACTGCCCCTTCAGAGGATCAGGAGGATGAGGAGTGCTGGCTGTCATACAGTCACGTGGAAGTTACACTCGGTATTGACCTTAAATCGTGTAAGACACGCTAAAGGACATTTTGAATGTTCACTTTCACTTATAATAAATTCCAGGGCCACACTTGTACAGACATGGTTTTGTATGAAAATCAGTGGGTTTTTTAAATGAGCAATTATGATCATAAAATCAACATGGATTCCAATCATTTTGTCGTTTTTCATGAGTCAAATGATCATAAGAGTTAGAAAAATTCATGTTTTACCTTCGTGGTCACCATGAGAAATTGTATGTATGTGTTGAATCATTCCCAAAATACAGGGAGTGCTTAATTAAGTTCTTTGTTTATAGATTTCCATTAACATAATTGAAAGGGGTAGTGTTTAAAACTGCTTGTTTGTCGTCTAATTTAATGGATCTCAGACCTATAAACCCAGTTACTGACACCATGAGCAGCGATCAATGCAAATGGAGTACGATGGCATGTTCCAATCAACCTACTCAGTTTCGCCTGATCCGTTAGTCTTATCTACCACAAGGAGGTTATTGGAGACTCATTTTAAATCGGATCTTCGGGAGAGGATTTTAAACTGCCTTGGCCAGCAGTAATGATCACTTATCACAAAGTTTCAGTATTATGTCGTAACGAAAAACGACACAGGTCGTAGTCATCTCACATGGTGAAATCCATGATCACACCTTTTGTGCTGTCACGAATTAAAATGACAGATCCTTGCATTACAAAAGGAATCACCTCCAAAGGCAATTGACTATTCTTAAAGTTTCAAGACAACGTTTGCTCCAATATGAAATAAGACTCAGCTGGCTGATATAAACGGAGGCAATAAAAGTTGTTAGTCATTACCCGGCTTGGCCGATAGCTTTTTGACATGGTACTATAGTGACGTAATTCACAAGTTTTAGACAAAACTATCTTTTCCTTGTCGTTTTTCATCATGAATGAGATAGACTAACCCCGTTTCCTTTTATTTTAACACTATGGATGATTTGAACTTTACCCATGTTTTGTACACACCTCATCATACTTACTGTACTTAATAATTCTTACATACCCATAACCGTACACACGCACGCACGCACGCACGCAACGCCGACCACACACACTATGCCATCATTGAAGAAACATTGACTTCAAAACTAATCATGTTCGTTCTACACCTGTCCCATATAAGATCTGCAAATACTAAATTGTATTACACCAATTCCATTGACGATTTAACACCCCATACACTGAGTAAACGACTCTCGTAGACACACGTTGATAGACATAACTATGAAGTTCTTTCTTTTTTTCTGTACACTCAACCATCGGGTAATAGGAGCGCTGCTATGCAGCTCGGAAACAAATGTTTGTTTGCTTATAAATTATGTGAGTATCGGTGTTATCGGTACAGCACGACATGCGTAACCTATTCTTCTCATATGTCATCACTGACTTTCAATGCTTTTTTCAGGGTATGTTATCTTCTACACCCAACTAAATCTGTTTGGAAAGGTAATCCGTCCAGTTATGCTCTGGTGTTGACGTTTTACATGTGTATGTTTTTTTGTAAATATGACATTTGTGTACATGTTTGCCATGATCGAGAGATAAAAAGGTTTGCATTATAGAAGAGTTGCTCTCAAACAAACACGGCAATCATAAAATACATGTATACATATTTATTTGCTTAAATGAAACATTCGCGTGTTAGTGACGAGAAACAACGTTGGACAAGCAATACATCATGGAAAGACCTGTGAAGGTAAGGTAAGTGGTATTATCAAGCATTTGATAAAAAGGGGTTGTTACGACGTAAATTGTAATAAAAACGCAAATTGTAATACTTGCAGCAAATTGTAATAAACTTGACGTAAATTGTAATAAAAACGTAAATTGTAATAAAAATTGACGTAAATTGACGCAAATTGTAATAAAAATTGACGTAAATTGTAATAATTTTCATTTGCGGTAAAATGTAATAAATATTTACGTAAATTGTAATAACAGTTTTAATCACTCGTAAATACGCGGGTGTTTGTTTTCGTTGCATTTCATACATCAAATATGCTTGTTAGGGCGATAACTGAAGAAAGAAATGATGGATTTTGTTCAAATTTGGTACCAAGGTATATTGGCAAAATTCACCGACACAAGTGAAATGGAGTGACCTTGAGATAATTTTGAAGGTCACAGCAAAAATATGAGGGTTTTGCCAATATAAAGATTGTTAGCGCGATAACCCAAGAAAGAACTGACAAATCTTAGCCAAATGACGAAAATGATATTCGTCCTGATATATAATCGATATAAAATATCTTTCTGTCCTCTGTATCATGTCTTTTCGCAAATATCTTTTAAGGTTTTGATATGTATAAATATAAAGTGGGGTGGGGTGGGGGTGGGTTTCTAACGGGTATATCAAATCAAATCAAATCAAGTTAGACATTTGTATAGCGCTACATATCCAGAGTCCTGCTCATGTGCGCTTAGTCGAATGCTCGTTTGAAGAGGATGATTTTGAGACAAGATCGGAAACTGTTGATATTTTCCGTTTTCTGACATTTTCAGGTAATCAATTCCAGAGTACAGCACCCGGTCTGCTAAATGATCTGTCTCCATATGTTGTGGTTCGGACAAATGGAATAGCCTAGCTGACTAGCAATGAAATGCATCACAAATTAAACTTCAGGAAACAAAATATGCAAGAAACATTTTGTATGTTTGAGATTGGTAGAGGTCGGCTAGAATCAAACTTAGATATTAAACTTCACAAAAAGGCAATTTGAAACTACAATCGCTTGTTCAAATGACTCCCCCTTCCGTTTACTGAAAGAACTCGAGAAAGAAATGATGGATTTTGTTCAAATTTGGTACCAAGGTTTATTGACGAGATTTACCGACACCACTTGAATTTAGTGACCTTGAGGTCATTTTAAAGGTCACAGCGAAGGTGTAACAGTTTTGCACATGCCAAGCTTGGTAGCCGCGAACTCAGGAAAGAATTAATAGATTTTGATCCAATTTTATATCAAGGTGTATTGGCGGGAATCCCCCTACACCAATTGAAACACAATATGCAAAACACATGTTGTATGTAAGTCAAACATAGATATTAAACTGCACAAAAAAGCAATTTGAAACTATAATCGCTTGTTCAAGTGACTCCCCCTTCATGTTTACTGAAAGGGCGTGTTTTGACCCATGGGCGAGAATGTTTTAGTTTGCTCAGAATTCATGTTTTGGAGGTTGTAAATGAATGAGTGTATGTTTATAAGCATCATGACACAAAGTTCAACTAATTTTGACTTAATTCGACTAACTTAGGGCGATATTAAAAAATCTCGCCCATGGGCGAAAAATATGTTGGCCCATGGCGAGAATGTTTAATTTCGCTCAGAATTCATGTTTTGGAGGTTGTAAATGAATGAGTGTATGTTTATAAGCATCATGACACAAAATTCAACTCATTTTGACTTAATTCGACTAACTTAGGGCGATATTAAAAAATCTCGCCCATGGGCGAAAAATATGTTGGCCCATGGGCGAAAATGTTTAATTTCGCTCAGAATTCATGTTTTGGAGGTTGTAAATGAATGAGTGTATGTTTATATGCATCATGACACAAATTTCAGCTCATTTTGACTTAATTCGACTAAGTTATATATTCTGTGAGACATGAAATGAAAAATAGTGAAAAAAAAAGATTTTTCGTAATGTTGCATTGCTGTACCTTTACCCGTCAGAGAAGTCCTTCTCAAAGATATATATTCAGTTGTTTGGAGCAGTCCTATATGACTATTACGCCCCAGTGCTGCTAAACAACTCGTAGACCTTTAGTCTGACATAGACGCAGACCTTGCATGTTCAAGTTCAGTTCACGAAAAATTGAATCCGACATGAATGCAATATCTCATTGGGTTATTGTTTTCCTAAGTAAGTGGAGTGTCTACTACAACATTGGAGACAAGTGTATCGCTGTCCTTCTGATATTCCCCGAACGGAAGCTCTACCCATTTTAGGTATAATGTGCATGTTACAGAATAGTATGGAATAGTCTTAAGACGTTTCAAATTTGACCAAGATTCTCCGAACTTGTAGCAGTCGCTTGAGAGATCAAAGAGAAAGGGGTAGTGCGCGATGTATCTGACGGACGTATGTGGAGAACGTTTGAAGAATGTTACTGTATAAATACAATAATTGAAATACCAGTTATGTTTAAAAAGTACCCTCAATCTGATAGCCAGAGAGATTATTGTGAAAGATCGCAGTATTTATCTTCATAAACGGGCCAAGATAAAAGTACATGCCATTCATCCCCATATTATATCCCTTCTATATACAAGGGACATCGTTGTTACAGGTAGGGCAAACACTTTCTTCTATAGGTATCTGCCGGTTTCACGCTACATACATGTATTCAGATTATTGAGAAAACTAGCGACGCAAGATCTCCTCCAACACACATATAATTGTATACATACCCAGTGATTAGTGATAGCGTTGAAGCAACTTATTAAAATTTACGACAGACACTATCAGCTGCAGTAGTACTGCCATACCTAGCAGCGTATTTATTACTCTCTTACATAAGGTGAAATATCACAGGGTTGTCATGGTAACGATAATTTTGCATACTATTTATTGTGTTACTCTTTAATCAGCGATTAGAATTTAAATCAGTTTTGAGGTCAGCATGTTAAGAGAAAAGAAGTTGTAAAACGAAAAGTATTGTGATCGAATCTAT